GGCCTTCAGAACTTTCTTTCAAAACTAGCATGGTCTAAACATATAGCACATTGAGGAGTAAGTACATTTGCATTATGCAACTGCAAAGAATGTTTGAAAAATATGTTGAATACAATGTATTTTGGCCAGTTAGCCCAACTCAAAAATTACTTAACAGTCTTTAGTGAGGGTAAAAAAAGGAAAAATGGCACTAGCACACTTTTCAGAGAGCTATGAAATAACAAAAAGCAATCCCTTCCCTCGTCTCCCCAAACATACATCCTTACATCATGTTCCACAATAACGACAGTGGAAGTAAAATTATTTTCCACTGGCTTCACAGTAGACCAACTAGCCAGGGCTGCACAGAGCTTTAGGGAGCCTGGGGCAAAACCTGACACCGAGGGCCTCCACTCTTCCAAAGAAATTACCACTGAGGGGGGGCTGCAGGGAGAAGGGTTGGAGGGGAAGCCCACACCACACTCACCCGACCCTGCAATAGGGCTCAGCTCCAGTCACGTAGGTCTGGGCCTGGGTCCGTCTGGGTGTTGCAACCTGGCCTCAGGGGTCACAGTGCAACTCAAGTTTGGCTATGCATCCCTGCAGCTAGCCAGCATTTCTAATTAAGGATGGGATTTTCAATGGGACTTGTGCTTCACTTAGGTGCTTTTGAGAATCCCACTGTGTCTTCATCAGATCCCTAACCTTAAGTAATAACAATATAATGGTTTGGGGGTTTATGTGTTCGTTTTGTCTCTTTCTGAACGTGAAATGACTTCACTAAGCATAACTGTCTGCTAAGTGGGCTATTCCTTTTTCCCTGTTTTTCTGTAGGCTATGTCTACACTACAGACCTTAGAGTGGCACAGTTGTACGGCAGTTGCTGCACCGCTGTAAGGTCTCCCATGTAGCCACTCTATGCAAGCGGGAGAGAGTCTCCTGTCGGCATAATTAAACCACCCCCAATGAGTGTTGGTAACTAAGGTGGCGGGAGAGAATCTCCCACCAACATAGCGCTGTCCACACTGGCGCTTTTGTCGGTGAAACTATGTCGGTCAGGGGTATGTTTTTTCACACCCCTGACCGACAAAAGCGTTCGTTTAGACATAACCTTAGTTACAGAAGTTGCCTGTTCCATCCCTTCATCTTCTGTTGTGTGCTAAGTAACTCTTGTTTCTTTTCTTAATTTAATTCATCTTGTTGGTTTCCTGGGCTGAGACTAAGTTTGAGATTTTTTAGAAAATTCTTAGAAAAGAAAAACAAATGTATTAGCCTTGATGCGTGGACTCCTCATATGCTTAAAATTAAGCACATGCATAAATCTTTGCAGTATTGGAGCCTTAGAATGGAATGGCCTTCGTGACCTTCACTCTGGTATTCCTAGTTAATAATTTAACTCCAAAGTATACAAGTATACATAAATTGACTGTAATTATAGTTTCAAATTCTGATGACCTGAATAGATAATTTGAGCTGTGATCTCTTCATTTAAACCTGTATGCTCCTGAGACTAAACAACATGTTTTAGTACCAGTTGTTTATTTGCAGATACCCAGTGACCAATGTTTCAAAGTTCAAACAATATCAGCAAAATCAGAAAGAGTTAAAGTAGTTTTAATTCTTTGTTTTCAGTGTCAGTGGACACTAAAAAGAAAAAATATATATGCTACTTGGTGTTTTAGGTTAAATCATTTTAATTTAACTAGCCCAACAGACTCTTCAATAAGTACATGGAACAAAATGCCACAAAGCAGCAATGCTCCATATTGACTCTAACTAAACAAAAATGAATTACCGGTAATAATTTATTTGACAAGGAAGAAGAAATGGAATTAATAAGACATGTGCACATTACTTTGCTTGCATGGTTTCTCCCACCTTTTATCTTTTGTCTTTTTAAAAAAGAATGCTCCTCAGGACAGATAATACCTTCTGATGCATTTGTACTCTCCCTAGCATAATGGGACTCTGATCCTCACTGGATTTTTGAGCATCACCGCAATGTAAACTGTAGTAGTATGGATTTGTCAGCACTTCTGGAAGTGTCACCCTTTACATTACAGTATACCATGGCCAGCATTTCAGATGGGCCAAGTCAGGACCAATAATGAGTAATGTTTGTTAGTGATAATGATATCACACTGAGATGATGAGAGATGATGAGATGATTTCATAACTTTTGTTAGCACAAGATGGAACATTAAAACTGGTATTTGCTGGCTGTAGGCTATTTACCTTTGCAGTTTCTACTTATTTCTTCTTCTTCTTCTTTTTTTTTAATGTTCTAGGGTCTTTCCATAACATTGGCAACAAATACCATAGGGCCCCTAGTGATGGCTAAATATTTTGCCCCTCTGTTGCGGAAAGGAACTGGAGCATTTGGACATCAGTTTGCTGACCAGGCCAAACAGCATAGGGCCATACTGGTGAACCTGACAGCTAAAGTAGGCTCCATAGGAGACAATGGTAAGTACTGTTTGACATGAATGTTATGCAGTAACCTAATTATTTTTCATATAAGAAGATAAATGATTGATATATTAATGTTTTATAACATCCAGGTGGTGTGGGCCAGCGTAGCTAATAACAATGTAGAAGATCACTATAATTTTCTAAGCATTACTGCATCTTAATTTATATTTTTCCTGCAAAAATGGTTTGTGCAGTAAAAAGAATAACTCTGCTTAAATTGTACTGATATGTTGGCTAACGAATATATATTGAATTATCTTGCTGCTAAAAGTAATTATGGTGGTGTATGCTGCAGCAATTTTTTAATTTTAAAATTTGTATATTCCTATTTGTTCAGTTGCATGTGGTGAATGACATATTTATTTATCAAACATTCAAGACAGTATGTGCACTATGAATATTGAAGGAGTATTTTAAAAATCCATTCCAAAAAGTTTTTGTAAACATTTCTTATAATTTAAGTAGAGGGTTTCATTTTATCCCTTATAATTTGTAAGATCAGTGTTTGGATAGGTAAGTCTCTTTAATATAAACTTTAGAGACATTAAATGCAATTTCTGTTGTGACTTTGAGCTATACCATTTGGGGATGTGACTTTGTCAAATCTCATAAATTAAGCAGTGTTGGGCTGGGCCAGTCATTGAATTGGATACCTAGAGAGAGAACTCACAAACTTCAGGAATTGATATTGGTATGGATTCATTGTGTGGCATTTTCCCCTTTGACTCAATATTGAGCTGATGTCTCACGCATGATGCAAGGGGTCATTCTGATGCTGGAGATGATGAGTGAAGTCCTGGCTCAATTAAAGTCAATGAGAATTTTGCCAGTGATTTCAACAGAGCCAGGATTTCACATGATGTTTTTTGTGTGAGATGTGAAACTCAGACTTCAGTCATAAAAGATCATGTAACACTTGTTACAAGAGTAAAAGGCCTCAGGGCTGGTATACACTATACGGTTAGGTCAACATAAAGCAGCTTATGTTGACCTAATTATGTCAGTGTCTACACTTCAGCCTTCTTCCCACCGATGTAAGTGCCCTATTACACTGAGGACTTGTCTACACTGGCAAGTTTCTGTGCAGTAAAGCACCTTTCTGCATTGTAACTCCTGAGGTGTACACACTGCCAGGCCACTTAGTGCGCAGAAACTGCGCATTTGCAGCGCTATAAAAAAACCACCCCGACGAGAGGCGTACAGCTTTCTGCGCTGGGGGTACAGCGCTGCGGTGCCAGTGTAGATATCCAGGTCGATTACAGCGCTGCGATTGGCCTCTGGGAGGTGTCCCACAATGCCTGTTCTTGCCTCTCTGGTCATCGGTTTGAACTCTACTGCCCTGCCCTCGGGTGACCAACCATCATCCCCACCCGTAAATTCCTTGGGAATTTTGAAAGTCCCTTTCCTGTTTGCTCGGTGATGCGTGCAGTGGTCTCAGCACATCTTTCCAGGTGACCATGCCTGCTCCACGTACCAGGAGATCCCGCTTACAGCAATGCTGAGCTACTGGACCTCATCAGCATTTGGGGAGAGGAATCTGTCCAGTCCGAGCTGCGCTCCAGTCGTAGGAATTATGATACCTATGGACAGATTTCATGATGCATGACAGAAAGGGGCCATGACCAGGACACACTGCAGTGCTGGGTCAAAGTGAAGGAGCTGCGGAACGCCTACCACAAGGCACGGGAGGAAAACCCCGCTCCGGTGCTGTGCCCATGAGCTGCCAGTTCTACAAAGAGTTGGACACTATACTCGGTGGCGACCCCACCTCCACTGCAAAGGTCGCTGTGGATACTTCGGTGGCTCGCCTGCCAGTCGAGAGTGGACCGAGCCAGGAGGAGGAAATCTTGGACGAGGAGTGGGAGGGGGACCCAGAGGCAGAGGACGACTTGGAGATTAGAGATGCATGCAGCCTGGAGCTCTTATCTACCCCGGAGTAGGCTAGCCAGTCACAGCTGTCGGAGCTTGGCGAAGCGCAGATGAGAGAGGAGGCTCCTGGTAAGTGGATTTGATTTTGGGAATCGCTGAAGCAAGTTGTTGGAGGCAGGAGGGTTGCAGAAAGCAGGCGTGTGTCTATATGATGCGCGTACCACCGCATGCCTAGTCTGAGTGGCGGAACAGCGTGTTGATTGACTCCCTCACTTCACAGGAATCTGCTTCAGAGATCTCCAGGAAACTCTCATGGAGATACTGGGCAATCCACTGCTGTAGGTTCTTTGGCAGAGCCGCTTTGTTTCTTGCCCCATTAAGGGTAACTTTCCCGCGCCACTGTGCCATCACCTCGGGGGGGGGGAGAACGGACCATTGCTGCACACAGGTGAGCCGCATAAGGGCCAGGGCAGAAGCCACAGTCTTGGAGAAGACCCTCCCTTGATTCCCTGCTCACCCTCAACAGGGAGATATCTTCCATAATGAACAGAGCCTGTGGAAAATGTGGGGACAGTAATGATTATCAGGCCCCCCCTACAGTGCTGGCTCTCCCTGAGAGCCACGTGGCCACTGTACAATACGGTCCTGGAACACTGATCTCCCCTGTCCCTGCGGTTACTCACCATTTTGGGGGTCTTGTGGCTCATGTGTGCTTGCTTGGGGTCAGCCAGTTAGTGACAGATATGTGAATAGTGGCTGAGTTTTAAATCTGTGCACTTGCTCAGCCTGTTGTTGAACCGCTCCTTGCTACTGTCAAGGTTCCACGTGTATGGCTTCATGAGCCACGGCATTAAGGGGTAGGCAGGGTCTCCCAGGATCACAATGGGCATTTCGACTTCCCCTATGGTGATCTTCTGGTCTGTGAAGAAAGTCCCTGCTTGCAGCTTCCTGAACAGGCCAGTGTTCCAAAAGATGCATGTGTCATGCACCTTTCCGGACCAACCTGCGTTAATGTCCATGAAACGCTCACGGTGATCCACAAGTGCCTGGAGAATCATTGAGAAATAACCCTTCCAATTAATGTACTCAGAGGCTAGATGGTCTGGTGCCAGAAGTGGAATATGTGTGCCATCTATCACCCCTCCTCAGTTAAGGAAGACCGTTTGTGCAAAGCCATCCACAATGTCACGCATGTTGCCCAGAGTCATGGTCTTTCGGCACAAGATGCAATTAATGGCCCTGCACACTTCCATCAACACGAGTCCAACGGTCGACTTTCCCACTCCAAACTGGTTAGCAATCGATTGGTAGCAGTCTGGAGTAGCCAGCTTCCATGGTGCAATTGCCACGTGATTCTCCAATGACAGGGCAGCTCTCATTCTTGTGTCTTTGTGCCACAGAGCTGGGGCGAGCTCATCACACAGTCCCATGAATGTGGCTTTCCTCATCCAAAAGTTCTGCAGCCACTGCTCGTCATCCCAAATGTGCATGACGATGTGATCCCACCACTCAGTGCTTGTTTCCCAAGCCCAAAAGCAGCTTTCCACTGTGGTTAGCACCTCCGTGAATGCCACAAGCAATCTCGTGTCGTAGCTACTACGCATGGCGAGATCAATGTCACACTCCTCTTGCCTTTGTAGTTTAAGGAATAACTCCACTGCCATTCGTGACGTGTTAGTCAGAGCGAGCAACATATTGGTCAACAGTGTGGGATCCATTCCTGCAGACCGAAGAGGCAGAGCACGCAGTACATAAACCATTGAAAGATGACGCCAAATGCAGACGGAAGCACAGGGATTGCTGGGCTGCGAAGCAATGCATCACGGGGCATTGGGACAGGACCTATGATGCCCTGCGACCCCCTCCACCTTCCCACAACTCTTAGCGGCAGAAGAGGAAGAGATGCTCTGTGGGATAGCTGCCCAGAGTGCACCGCTCCGAATACCACTGCAAGTGTGAACATGCTATTGCACAGGCAGCTGACAGTATGAACACACAACAGCGGTTTCCCTTCAGCGCCCTCTGAGCAGCACTGTAACTGCCGGTGCTGTAACTCTGCTAGTGTAGATGTTCCCTGACGTAATAACTCCGCCTCCACAAGAGGTGTAGGGCTTATTTCAGTGTAGTTAGGGGGAGGCAGTGTCTACCTTACATAGGCTGTCTTGTCAATTTCATGGCAGGAGCTGTGAAATTGACAAGAAAACCCCAGCTCCCCTGGAGAGCTGGGCGGCTGGACCCTGCTCCTGGCTGGTAACTCTGGTAACTCTCCTTGAGCTAGAGCACCAAAAATAGCAGTGTTGTCAAAGAGGTTCAGGCTAGCTGCCTGAGTACAGTCCTGACCAGCTCCCTGAGTATGTATTCAGACAGCTAGCCCAAGCTGCTGCTTGTGCTGCTGCAGTCACACTGATATTTTTAGTGCTGCTAGCTAGCTCCAGCAGACCTAGCATGTGTATGTCTACTCAAGCTGGGAATCACACCTGCCAGCTGCTGTATAGATATACCCTTAGTCTGTAAGTTCCAGGGTATGGATTGTGGGTGAAATACTGGCACCATCAAAGCCAATTGCAAAACTTGTATTTCACCCTGTGTCTTATGTGTTCAGTAAAGTGCCATAAACATGTATAGGGCTGTATGAATATTAACAGAAATAATTGAATTTGAAAGGAAAATGTCAAGATTGATAGTCCTAAAATGTAGAACATTTTAAAAAGTTTTATTTAAACTTCGAGTTCTGGCTTCCACATTTACAAATACCTTTTAGAGAGGCTAGTGTGACTTTGATGAAGAGCTTTGTTTTAATCATAAATGACCGGTGAGTATATTTACAATTTACCTGGACGAGAGACTTAAAACTCTGTTAAACAGATGTGTTTATAATTTCTCCAGATAGTCATTGATGATCCTGCTTTCTTTGCAACACAATACTTTTAATAAGGGATTTGACTCTTTGGAGTGGTTTCTTTCCACATCTGAGAGTACTGACTGTTTCTTCTTTTGCAGGTTTGCATAAAATATACAATGTAAATGCCTTTTTGTGTTCTCAGCTATCCAAAATAGGAGTCTTCAGAACGGCCCCAGCAATTATTTTTCAAAATGTAAAAAAAGAGAGCCTGAGCCAATAAAAAGTGAGCTGGAAAGAAAGGCACTCAATTGCATCAGTTTATTACATTCACAATTTAAGCCAACTAGTGATTCTTATCATATCAGTAGAAGCTTAACAGGAACAAATCTCAAAATAAATTGGAACATGAACTCAATAAATATTTTGAATACTGCCAATTTTAAAGTAGCATCATTTGCCAAGATATTTGGATGGCTTTACTGTTGGTCTAGTAAGCAGTAACCATAACACTGGATGCTTCTGTGCCTTGAAAAGGGTAAGGTTTGGGGCTGGTAAGCCTAATACAGTTCAAGTTATGAATGAGAAGGCAGAATCATAGGAACAGGATTTGTTACTTATGTTACAAACTGGCCCACTGCCCCACTTTATGGTCAGTCTGTTGTGAGTGGATCCAATCACTGGGTCCCATGTGCTTCTGAGTCAATAGGGTCTGGGTAGAGTCTAGTTAATGTTTCTAGCTCTGAGACTAGGTCACATTCCCAGGCTTACAACTCTTCTCTGATGCCCTTGTTTCGGATGTGTAGGTGCTGCAGTCCAGTTGCCCTAAATGCTGAAACCAGGGCCTCAGGTCTCCTGGACCTTCCACTCACTTACACATGCTTTCACTTAGGCTGTGGGTTCTCTGGGCTTTTAGTTTAAGCCCTTCAGTGACAATGTGGCAGGAAAACAAAGAACACAGGCTTAGCAATGGAATTTCTTAACCATAGTAATTTTTACGTTTAAAAGACTCAAGAGTTACTGTGACACTCCCCTGGGGTACCCAGGGTTGTGAGACACCTCACCACCACTTGCCCTTACGCGTGAGGCAGCCTTCTTGGTGCCTGCTGTGAATCAGTTCCCTGAATCTACTAGCCTCTGGCAACACACCAAGCGCTTCCTTCAGGACCTGTTCAGGCCCTCACTCCCTCTGTGCAGGCTAGTGAATGGCCCACACCGACCCCTGAACCCTCTCAGAGCATTCCCTGTATTGTCAGCTCCTTATCCACTGAACACCCATAGAACTACCAACCATGCTGTTCCCAAAGGAACAGTGGTACACACACTAGCTTGTAAGAGTCAGCTCAGGATCAGGACTTTGCTTAACGCCACAGCACTTAGATATATTTATAGTCTGGGGAAGAGAAGACTGAGAGGGGACTTGATAACAGTTTTCAAGTACATAAAAGGTTGTTACAAGGAGGGGGGAGAAAAATTGTTCCTCTTAACCTCTGAGGATAGGACAAGAAGCAATGGGCTTAAATTGCAGCAAGGGCGGTTTAGGTTGGACATTAGGAAAAACTTCCTAACTGTCAGAGTGGTTAAGCACTGGAACAAATTGCCTAGGGAGGTTGTGGAATCTCCATCATTGGGGATTTTTAAGAGCAGGTTGGACAAACACCTGTCAGGGATGGTCTAGATAATACTTAGTCCTGCTTTGAGTGTAGGGGACTGGACTAGATGACCTCTCGACGTCCCTTACAGTTCTATGATTCTATAGTGAAAACAAAAATAAGTTTACTATCAGGGATCCAAGATTCCGGCAATAATGAGCAAGGATATTGGAAACAAATGGTTACATATAAAACAAAATCATAACTCGCTTTCTAGAGACTAAATGTAACAGGTTAATTCCTATCTATTGAAGTTTTATGGAAAGTTTCTCTTCAGCATTTTCAACCAAGGTTGGCGCAGACACTGTTTTCATGAATATAAACATGCTTTCTACTTACTTCCTAGATGCAGAATCCCAGCATGTCTTCTTTCTCTTCCAGAAATTCCCCCCAAAGTTCATTGTCTGTACTCTTAGACTGGAAAGAACCCGTGACTTGTTTTTTTTCCCCGTGTGCACTTTCCGTGTTGACTTCACACCTCCTTGTTAACATTTGACTTCATATGTAAATGGGCATCCATTGTGTTAGCTTACAATGCTTAATTTACATCCTGTCTGGAAGCAAACCTGTTTTTCACCTTTGCTGATGACCACTACCTTGATACAGACTTTAAAAACATAGTGCTTCAGTGTGTGTGTGTGTGTGTGTGTGTGTGTGTGTATATATATATATGTAAGGAGTTATAGATATATAACTCCTTACATAGTATCTGTACATACATTTCACAATTATACTAATGACCATTGTGACAATGGCTTTTATTTGAGATCACATGGCATTCTTTGATTAACTAGAATGTATACACAAGACTCATGAGATTTCTATAAACCCTGTACACCCCCAGTTGGCATTAAAAGGTTCTTGGGTCACAGTTACAGATCTTTTGAAAATAACAGAAGTCCTGAGATGCCCCTAGTCTTAGCTCACCCCTTCTGAGAGTCAGCGGTTGATCAGAGTTTCAAGCTGGGCAGTGTCTCTCCTGCACGTCCTTCTTACGGCTGGCAATGCTCAGCCGCCTGCACAGAACAGAACCTCCCTCTTAAATAGGGTCTCTGTCTTTATGATGTGTGCTCCAACTGAGAAGCTCCAGATCTACCAGCCATAGTTGTTCATCCTCCCATGTTGTGAACCCCTGTGTAGAAAAAACATTGTTCTGTGGGGGTAGGGCCAGAAGTTCAGAGACAATCAAAGTCAGTGGCCCCAGATTGCAGTCTTGATGGCTTCTCAGTGATAGCCCTGCAGTGAGGTGCCAAACACCTTGCCCAGGCAGGGCGACTGTCTGGATTGCAGCCTAATAAGAGGCTTTCCCTTGGGCAAGTTCAGATTTATGCAGTCACATTGGTACTGTTTCCACACAGTACAACATAGAGTTCATAATTTGATCCTGTCATATCCCACTCTGTTTCAAGTTCCAGTCAGTTTTCCCAGTGAAACAGCGGTTTTGAAACATACCAGGCTTCTTTGTTCAGACTTTGCTTGCACCTGTTATAGAACGAAATTATGAAAGGCATGATACAAAATGATAGTGTGTTATAAAGCACCAAAGAACCTGATCACGTATGGTAACTGAAGATTCTAAGGCCCTTTTTTTCAAGAATAGGATGTTAATGCTGGTGTCTTGGCAAAATTCCATTTTGAGGTATTCCTTTTTGTTTCTCTAAACTTCCTCCTGCAGTTTAAATTAGATATATCTTTCACTTCCAGTTGTATTTTGTTGTGTAGTACTGCTGTGCACTAGCTTATACATTGCATGTTTCACCTCATATGTGCGTGCATTTAGGGGGTGCGGAAGTCATTTCTTTATACACCTTTTATATATCATTTGTAAAACACTGTGGATTTTTCTGGATAAACAGCTTTATAAAAAGTTGAGAATTATTCTAACAGTAAATTTAAAAAATCCTTTACATAAAGCTGCATTTCTGAGACTTTGTGAAAAGGATTAATTACATGCTAAAGTAAGAAGGAAAAGTGAAGAAGGAAAAAAACTTTTATTTTATGTATAATATTAATATAAAATTAGAGAGTGTTACTCATTTCTGACTGGGTGACTCATACTCTCAGGGAATTAATTATCCAACACAAGTAATTCTAAAATAGACACTATGGTATTTTTTTTAATCAGATGGCAATGCTAGCATTGAATAGGTAAACATGAACCTTGAATTCAATGTTAACTAGTAGATTGAGTACAGAACTGGGAGAAAGGACGTCCTGAAAACTTATCTCCATTCTGCCATTGACTTCCTATCTGTCTCTGGGCAAATAAACATGGGGAGGTAAATGTAAAAATACTAGGTAACTGAATTTAGAAGGAAACTAAGGGGTAAATAGTAAGAGTCCACTGTTCTTTTCTCTATAATTACTTATTTTGTTGTGTTTTTCATAGATTTTAAGGACCGTTATGCAAAAAGTCAAAACAGATTATCATAACACAGACCACAGAATTTTATGCAGTGGTTCTTGCATCAAATTCATAACATCTGGTTGAGCAGGGAACTTATCTTTTAGAAAGACAAGCAAGATAATGATGATTCCACTGGTTTTGCTAGATCTTTTTCATGAAAGAAATACAGCCTTCCCCATGGCTAAAAAATATGGGATAATGCTGTATGTATCAGCAAATGACCAAAGGGAAATTCACTAATATATTATTCTGAAATCTGCCAAATATATGAACATGCGACAATTATGACACAATGCTGCTTGTGGCTTTGCAGAACTTGCTTACCTGACATATTGTTTTTAGCCTTAGGTGGATGGTATAGCTACAGGATGTCTAAAGCAGCTTTGAACATGGCTACCAAGAATCTCAGCATTGAACTTGGAAGAGGGAAAACTAAAGTGGTGTGTGTTTCTTTGCATCCAGGAACTGTGAATACCGATTTATCAAAGCCTTATCACAGGAATGTTCCCAAGGACAAACTGTTCACCCCAGAATATTCAGTTAATTGTCTAATGAATATTATTGAGAACCTTGATATGGTGAAAACAGGAAAGTTCTTTGCTTGGGATGGATCTGCACTACCTTGGTAAAGACTTGTTTTAATGGAGGTGCTCCGGTACTGTGGAGATGAGAGCAATATAAATAACTAGCTAGATTAATGCTTTAGTAAACCTTTTGTTGTGGCATATTATGGGGGCATCCAAAAGATATTAGATTTTAATCCCAGTTCTGTCACTAACTTGCTGTATGACTTTGAGCAAATCACTTTAACTTCTCTGTGCCTCTAATTCACTATGTGGTAAATGGGGATAATACTTACCAACCTCAGGGCTCTTGAGGCTAAATTTGTTAATGTTTGTAAAAGGTTTTGAGAGTCCCTAAGAAAAGTGCAATAAAGTATAGGGTATAGTTATGATTTTATTAATGATAATAAAAGCATACTTCTAATGATTTGCTGCAAAGATTTATGTTTATTTATTCAGATACCATGCCTTGGTTTCTGTAAATTGGCTGAGGTTAGAGAGAAAAGGGATTACATAGCAGTGAGAGACAGGCCATTTCAAAAGGTTGTTTCCTGTAACCTTCTCTCTTTGTTTTTTATGCTATCAGTTTGAAAGGTGATACAACAGTGCAGGACAGATCTGGTCAAATCAAATCTAATGGTGACGTCTGACAGTGATGAAAACAGAACTCAGTGTGCAAAGCTGTGAACATTAGCTCCATTTTGGGCAAGTCTGCTGCAGACCTTCTCTTTCTCCCCACCTCTCTTTTTTTCCTCTTTTATTGATGGATGCCAGATTTAAAGGTTACTGGCTGCAGGGAACCCCCACCCCCTGCATACAAACAGACACACCTCCCCTAAAAACTCAGGTGCTAACTGCATTTTAAGTATTTACCATACAATGAGAGCATTAATAAGATTCTGATTACAATTTTGTCATAGTTGCTCTGACTTATTTTCACGTGTTATAACAAAGAAGAAAGATTGGCAAGTTTTAGTGAGATGTTCATGTTGTTCAAATGTAACTCTCAGTACTTGGATTGGGGATGGACAATGACATCACAGGTTCATATTCATTGGAGGCACAGGTACATACTTATTCTAAAAATCAGGCCACTTACAGACTTATGTGAAATTGTTGCTGCACAGTACACATGAGATTGAGCCTAATGAGACAAGAGAATGACTGACAAAACTGTTATATAGATCACTGAGCAGTACTCTTTACCCTGTGAACTTTGTCCAGCTCCAAGAGATGTACTAGAAAGCAGAAAATCAAACAACTGGTGACGCAGTGGAAGATCACATAAACTACGCCAAGCAAACTGTTTACAGTCCTTCTGTTTTGTTGTCCACAACCTGACTACTCAGAACTTTGATCATACTGGTGACAGCTAAATCACATCACACTTGTGTATATGCAAAATAAAGATATGAAGATCTTCTTGGGGTATTAAAAACAGGACAACAAACATTGATGAAAAATTGTGAGGGGGTTTCAGTGTGGTAGGCTCAGGGAGTCAGAACAAAAGAAAGTAACACAAATGAGAAATGTGAGGCAGCCTGCAGAAATGAGACATACATAAATCCTTGTTTCTGTTATTGAACGCAAAGAGGGAGACATTTACAAGGGCCCATGTCATGAACATACTGTGTGTGACATGGAAGATAGCATAGTCTGAGGAAATGAAAGCATTTGGTTGATAGGAGATCCTGAGCTTTAGGCCCAGCTCTGCCATTGACTTGTTTTGTTCAGTTCACCGTTGCTTCAGTTTCCCCATCTGTAACATGAGAATAATGATGATTTTTCATTTTTATAAAATATTTTGAGATCTATGGACACAAAGTCCTATATCAGCATTAAGCATTATTTATTATAAAGTCAGGAGGATATTACACACTCCTCATATTGCCCATGAAGGCCACATGTACACTATGATTGGAACCAAGCTAGGTATAACCAGGTTTACACTTGGTTGGTAGGAGGATTATAGCATAGATTCTCTGAGCAGCAGAAACAAGGATTATAGCTTGGTTTCTCTGACCAGGGAAAAGCTTTTTCTGAAAATTGTTTTATAAAACTACACTAGATTACCTAGGAAACTAATCTCCAGTATTGTCTAGCCTACATGGTTGTCAGAAAACAGTGTTTTCGCTCCTTGATCTGGGAATCTAACCCCTACTAGCAACAGTGTTGTTTTAAACCCAGTGTTATTTTCATCTGTTTTGATATGCAGGAGGTAGTCCACTCCAAAAATTGGTTTGTTGGTATGTGTTCATTTTGTTTAAGTAACTAGCTGGTAGGGACCATAGGTGCTGGAACTACAGGTGTGGGGATGCTTCCGGATACCCTGGCTTGAAGTGGTATCCATCATATACAGGGTTTACAGTTTGGTTCAATGTCTCTCAGCACCCGCACTATACAAATTGTTCCAGCAACCCTGGTAGGGACATGAGGAATGAAGAGTGGCATATTTATAATGTAGAGGCCATAAAACCAACAATGGCTCTTCTTGATTGGCTCAGGATTTCATAGCCACCATATCAATTGTGGGCCTATTTCCTTCTGCTGCCTTTATACATGTAGGTGGGCATATTCTGGATCTTGTGTTTAGGCTGGATTTTGTGATCGAAGAGGTGAAGACCACACTTTGTTATGGTCAGAGCTTCTTCAGATAGAGATCAGAACTTGCCATTTCTTCCTTCAGGGAAAAGGTCATCAACAGAGAATGATTGATCCAGCTAGGTTTCAGATTTCTCTAAGGGAAAATGTTGTGCAGCTGGTGGTTTATTCATAATGCCTAGTAAGCCATTATGATCATCTGTTACTCTTAATCATTAATATAGTGGTCACTAAGCTCCAATCATTTTCCCAAGCCTTTATATGAAGGGACTGGTATTTATTTTCTCTCTCTTTTTTTTATTTCCTCATTAAAATGAGATGATGTATTTAAAAAAACAACTGTGTGCCTTGAAACCTTGGTACTGGGAGTATTTTATAAATTGGCCAGAAAAATAAAAATAAATTGATGCCCAGTATCCCTAGACAGAACAACCAGCCTGAAGAAAGTATTTGTCTTGCTATGTATTATTGTGATTAATTAGAGCTTGTGATGTGATAGGACAATAAAATCTGTTTTCAGTGGGCACAGAGAGAACTTTAAAACAATAAATTCCTCAGTGCAACAAAAAGAAAGCATGAATAGAGACATAATGCCTTTGCTTAGAGTGGTTGACTACAAGTAATTCTATAACCTCTGTCTCCAAGTTCCATGTAAAAATAAGGTAAGTCTCTCAGTGTAACAAAATTAAAAGTTTGCCAGCACTATTCAGAGCCAGGAGCTCCAGAAATCTGATTTGTTCCTAAGAATGTAAAGGATAATCAAAGTAAAAAGTTAGCCCTAGACACAGTATGTTCAAAAGAACTTTTTGTTCACAATAAGTTCAATGATCCCTATTGTATTACAGAAAAAATTTACATTTTATTCTAGGAGTCTTAGTAAGAAGAGTGTGACTTCAAAATTGATTTTCTCAGAATAAAAATGCAAGTTGCATATATGCAGCAGAGGTCCTTGAAATTATTTTTAGCACAATGTGTCTAGTGATGAGAAAGAAGTCTGTACCTATGTCTCTTTTTTTTGTTTCTGTCCCGAACACTTAATCAGTGAAACACTAAAGTTTGGAAATTCTCCTCTTCTTCTTTTTTTTTTTTTTTTTAATGTTTTAAATTTTTTTTTTTTTTTTTTTTTTTTTTTTTTTTTTAAAGAGAAAAACTTTTGCTCATTATATATATATATTGAGCTGTACTATTCACTAAAATGTTCAGTTTATATTCGGGCTGTCAAACGATTAAAAAATTAATTGTGATTAATCGTGAGATTAAAAAAACACAATTAATGGCAGTTTTAATTGCACTGTTAAACAATAATAGAATACCATTTATTTAAATATTTTGGATGTTTTACTAGATTTTCAAATATATTGATTTCAATTACAACATAGAATACAAAGTATACAGTGCTCGCTTTATATTATTATTATACTTGTTTGCACTGTAAAAAAGATAAACAAAAGAAATAGTATTTTTAAATTAACCTTGTACAAGTACTGTAGTGCAATCTCTTTATCCTGAAAGTGAAACTTAAAAATGTAGAATTATTTGTTTTTTACATAACTGCACTCAAAAATAAAACAATGTAAAACTTTAGAGCCTACAAATCCACATTTGTAAGTTGCACTTTCACAATAAAGAGATTGCACTACAGTACTTGTATGAAGTGAATTGAGAAATACAATTTTTTTTTTACTGTGCAAATATTTGTAATAAAAATATTAAGTGAGCACTGTATACTTTGTATTCTATGTAGTAATTGAAATCAATATTTGAAAATGTAGAAAAACATCCAAAATATGTATAATACATTTAAATTGGTATTCTATTAGTTTAACAGTACAATTAAAACTGCAATTAATCACAATTAATTTTTTTAACCAAGTTAATTTGTTTTGAGTTAATCATTTGCAATTTGCGATTGACAGCTCTACTTTATATACAACCCTAAAAGGTCACCAGCTCTAGTGGTAGTAGGGAACTGATCTATGGCAAACCAACAGGACACTAATGTAATGTTTATTTCTAAAAATCTTGCTTCTTTTTACCCACCCTGGTAACCAGATAGTTGGAGCCTTTAGGAAAGAACTTGTTTTCACAGCACAGCCCCTTCCTTCTCAGGACTCTTCAGTACTTTGAAAATAAGTACTTAAAACTGATATTTTTAGAAAGGTTAAGCATCTGTTGAGTATTATATGTGGTTTTAGCAGAGTCTTACAATTAAATTACATGGCTTTTTCAACACCAAAAGTTTAAACAAACCATTGGGGCCATTTAAACACAACCCCATGTTAGCATCAGTGCAGAGACATACCTCTCTACTCCGGAGGGAGGAAAACATAAGAGTGCTGCTTATTTTCCTGCTGCACCGGTCACCATTTATGGGATGGTGTGATATGGGCGAAGTAATAGCCCTGCATCCCCCTCTAGGGCATTGTGTGCACCCTGGAGGAATAGAGAAGGAGCAGCCTCTGCACTTTCCAAAGTACAGATATACCCGGCTCTTGTGCAGGCCACAAAACTGGAAGGAAGTCTTGTCTCCCCCTTCCACAGTTGTATACAGCATAATCTGATCCTCAGTTTGTTAGATTTTCCTTAATCAGGAAAAACTCATTGAAAACAATGGAAATTTGTCTGATTAAGCATTAAGGACTACAATAGTTAACTTCAACGTGAATGTAAAGTAATGCAAATCAAAGTGACAACTCAGCCGAACTAATGATCTAGCCCTCCTCAAGTCTGCCATAGCTGGTTTCCAAAATGGAGTGAGTAGGAAATGGTGTATCTTAACCATCAATATCATTAAGTTTGCTAGGGTGGTGTCCTCTAAAAATGTTTGCTTTGAAATTGCCAGTTCATCACTAACCAGTTTTATGATGAACTTTGTAAGAACACAGAATTTAGTAAGGTCACACCTTTCCCCATATTCAAAAGTTAAAACTTTATTAGCAGGATTTGCTTTGAACCATATTTTACGTGTGTGATGGTTTTTGGAGTCCCAGGACTCTGAGTCAGCTTGTTACCCTCCTGCCTCCAGCAAAAGGAAGACTTGTTTGTGCTTAACTCCAGTATATTAGCCACCCAAACCATCTCCTTAGGGCAATGCCAGTACTTGGCCTTGCAGGTTAACAATAGGTGTACTCAGTCCTCAAGCCCCTTTCAAGTGTTCCCCTGTACTGTTTAGCCCCTTATCCACTGAACACTCAGTTATACCGGAGGAACAGTATACCCCCCAGCTTGTTTGATTCAACACAGGGTCAGCTTCTTGTATAACACCACAGCACTGAGTTATGTTTATAGTGAAAACAATCACAAGTTTACTATCAAAGATTAAGATTTAAGAGCTAGTCAGTAAAAAATGTGGAAAGTTTACATATAAAACAAAATTATAACACATTCCAGAGGTGTAACTGAACAGGCTAACTTTCTGTGTCAGGAAGTCTATCTCACCCAAATGTCCTATACAGTGCTTCCAACCAAGGCAGGCTGGGATCCTGTTTTCATGAATGTAATTGCACTGTCTGATTACATCCTCAGATGCAGGATAAAAGGGTGTCCTTTTGCCTTTCCCTTATATTCCCCAAAGTTCATTGTCTGCCCTCAGAGACAGGGCAAGCCCTTGTCGTTCATTCTCCAGTGTGCTCCTTTCCTCCAAGTCCTGGCTCAGTATGTAAATAAGGCTCCCATTGTGCTGGCTTACAATGTTTAATTTACATTTTGACAGAAAGACTTCCTGTCTGGAAGACACCTGTTTTTCTCTTTGGCTGGTGACAGACTTTAGAACATATTTCTAGTACATGTACACAAATCCTTAAACATACATCTTGCAGTGATTGTGAGGATCACTGACAGAGGCTTTTATTAGAGAACTCATATGACATTTATGGATAAATACCACGAAAGTGGTGTGCTAGGTGTTGAGAGATAAGGTGAGTGAGGTAATATCTTTTATTGGACCAACATCTGTTGGTGAGAGAAAAAAAATATTGTGAGTCAAGTAAACCGTTTCCTGTCCAGCTCTGCTTATTTAATTAATAAATTTGCCACATTTTATTTCAATAGCAGATGAGGGGAAGCTAATGAGGAGCCAACATTAAGCAGTGAGGGGGTGGATTTGGGGGACTACTTTGACTTCTGAGATTCAAATATGGCTTTGAAGGACAGACAGAATTGATGATATGTCTTATTCTAGGCACTGATCTTGCAAAGACTTACACACCTGCTTAACTTTATGCACTTGACTAGTCCTATTAGCTTCAATGGACGACCCGCCTATGTAAGTCTTTGGAATGGTGGTCGAAGCAAGAAGGGGCATACAAATGCTTAGCATATCTGACACAAAAACCTTGCAACGTGGGCTACAACAGTGCCATGTGAATGTCTGTTCTCACTTTCAGGTGACGTAAATAAGAAGCGGGCAGCATTATCTCCTGTAAATGTAAAACTTGTTTGTCTTAGCGACTTGCTGAACAAAGAGTAGGACTGAGTGGATAAGTGCATAAACTTGTAGGCTCTAAAGTTTTACACTTTTTTGAGTGCATTACATAAAACAAAATACTACATTTGTAAGTTGCACTTTCACGATAAAGAGATTGCACTGTAGTGTTTGTGAGGTGAATTGAAAAATACTATTTCTTTTATCTTTTTTGAAGTGCAAATGTGTAATAAAAATAATAATATAAAATGAGCACTGTACACTTTGTATTCTGTGTTGTAACTGAAATCAATATATTTGAAAACATGGAAAAACATCCAAAAATATTTATAATAAATTTAAATTGGTATTCTGTTATGGTTTAGCATGTGATTAAAACTGATTAATCGTGACTACTTTCTTTAATCTAGTTAATTTGTTTTGCATTAATTGCTTGAGTTAACTGCAATTAATTGACGGCCCTAATATAAAGCTTAACTCAAAACTGTTTCACACATGAAAAAGTGTCTATTCCTCCACACTCTATTAGGCACTTAAATCAGATCTGTTAATCATATTAATGAGTCAGCTGGATCATCTGACATCACACCCTTCTCTTTGTCTTAGGACACTTTCTGCATTTTGGAATACTATTTTTTTTTTGTTTACAGTTGTGGTTTTTGTTATCTAGACTCATCTATACTTTAATAGCAAGGACCACATCTTACAGACACAGTTTTTCATGGACCCATTTCTCATATTCAAAACTACTGAGTCTACCACCCTTCATGTGCAATTGTGTAGCACTTCTGTGGCACCTGCAGCAATTTACATGGGGAAAATAATATCAGGAAAGTATTTAATGTACCTTAGCTTTCTATAACGTGCATTAGCAGATGGAATCAAGAAGAAAAGCCAGCACACTAAAGAGCCAACTCCCCATGGACCACATGTGGTCTGATGGTCACCAAATCACAATTCAAGATGCAGTGGTCTGGCTTTTAGTTTAGATACAATATAGTAAGGCAGGGATTCTCAAACTATCATAGTGCTGACCAGATCTTAATCCAGGAATTGTTTTACAGACCCCATCCCTTCCCAACCCGTTAACAGTAGTCCTGTTTATGATTGCACAGCATCCCTATTGCAAGTACAGCAATTGCTTATGTGGTAAAATATCACAAAAGTATGTAGGTACTTTAATCTTCTTTAAAATGGTAAGTGCTCAGTGCATTCCCCCCCAAAAGTACGGTCACCTTTTTATCTTAATCTCGCACTCTCAATTGTATTATTCCTTTCTCCCCTACTCTGCCCTGTTGCACGAGGATTGCTGTAGCCTAGTCCTCTATTCCCCTGAACATAATTCCCTGGCCATTCATTCTTGCTTCTGATGGTGCGAGAAAGGAGCTGTCTAGTCTTGCTGGAGCAAGAACCCCTACTGGAGGCAACTAGTCTCTCTCTCCTTTCTTTCCCACTGCTTTACAAGAGCCTGGAAACCCGTAATAGCAGCTGGATAAGGGAGCCAGCACCAAGTGACCCACCAGCACCCTATGAGACAATCAGTAATATATCTGCAGTTTGAAAACCACATTTAGGAAAGAATGAACCAACACCCAGAACATGCTTGTTGTAAAGTGTTTCAGTTATGGTGATTTTCAAATACCCAATAGTAGGTACCATGCAGTTCATCTAATTTTATATGCATTTTGTTACGTTAATGCACTTTATCATTTAATAACATTTTATTCAGTAAATGGGTTTTTGCATTTGGACTGTTTAGAGGCCAGATAAAATATCTGAGTCACAAAAGGATTGTCAAAGACTTGTAGTTAAAGCCAACAAACCGGAAAGGCATGAGATCACATGCACTGAAGGCCTGAGTAGTCACTGTTGACAATCATGTAACAGCACACACAAAAATAACAAAACAGATCATACATGCAGATACACAACTCTCCATGAAGCACAAAGCATGCACAGAAATCCTGAGTTTATAGACATGCAGAGGCAGTGGACGCATCTTCACAGCACTCCATACCCAAGCCACACACATAGGTTTGTACATATATACGCTACACAATAGGCGGCAAGTTATATGGGTCCGTGGTGCCCGTGCTTCACCAATATTTAGGAACGTGGGCCCGGCTCCACCAATGTTTGGACTTACCATTCTTCAGGGGGCCCTGCGCTTCAGGGGGATGCAGGGTCCAGGGTGGCCTGCCGCCAGCAGCAGCAAGCAACCTGGTCCCAGCCCACCCTGCTCTGCTCTGCCAGCGTCACTTGGGGGAGGGGGCAGAATCCGGAAAGAGACGGGGGTGGAATGGGGGCAGAGAGGGGGAAGGCTGGGGCCAGGTCGCTCGCTGCTGCCAGCATCAGGCCCCACACGAACCCTCAAGGCCACCCTGACCCCCGCAACCCCCTGAATCACAGGCCCCCCAAAGTGCAGGGCTCTGGGTCCAGGGCAGCTTGGCGGGGGGAGCGGGGGCTGGTGCCGGTGTAGTGGCACAAACAGCACCGAGCGACCTGGCCCCAGCCCGCTCCTATTCTACCCCTTCCCCCAAGCCTTTCCGGTTTCTGCCTCCTCCTCCCCCGAGTGAAGCCAGGAGGTGACAAGGTGGAGTGGGGCAGGCTGGGGCCAGGTCGCTCGGCGTGATGCCCCCTGCTAACCCTCCAGGCCACCCTGGACCCCCCCATCCCTCTGAAGCGCGGGGCCTGGGCAGTTGCCTTGGTCCGTCCTATGGATTGGATGGCTCTGCCTGGACCCCACATCTCCCTGAACTGCGGGGCCCCCCAAAGCACAGGGCCCGGGGCACTTGCCCCGGACCGGATGGTTCTGCTTGGACCTGTTCTGGGCACCACCAAAAACTATACAAACCTGGCACTCATGCGCTAAACACAACATAGACAAAAAGAACTGGAGTACTTGTGGCACCTTAGAGACTAACAAATTTATTTGAGCATAAGCTTTCGTGGGCTACAGCCCACTTCATCGGCTACACGTAGTGGAAAATACAGTAGGAAGATATATATATCTGTATATATGCATGCAGCAGATGAAGTGGGCAGTAGCCCACGAAAGCTTATGCTCAAATAAATTTGTTAGTCTCTAAGGGCTTGTCTATACTTACGCGCTGGTTCGGCGGCAGGCAATCGAACTTCTGGGTTCGATTTATCGCGTCTTGTCTGGACGCGATAAATCGAACCCAGAAGTGCTTGCCATCGACTCCGGTAATCCTGCTCGGCGCGAGGAGTACGCGGAGTCGACGGCGGAGCCTGCCTGCCGCATCTGGACCGCGGTAAGTTCGAACTAAGGTACGTCGACTTCAGCTACATTATTCACGTAGCTGAAGTTGCGTACCTTACTTCGAATTAGGGGGTTAGTGTAGACCAGGCCTAAGGTGCCACAAGTACTCCTGTTCTTTTTGCAGATACAGACTAACAGGGCTGCTACTCTGAAACAACATAGACAGTCCGCAGCCAGAGAAACATAGCCTTGGTGAACAGATCCCATAAGCAAAGCCAGACAAGCAGCACACAGACTAAACGCAGGCAGCACAGGGCACACATGCCCTGACAGCTGAGGGCTGAGACACCCAGCGTCCAGACAGGCAACCCCGGACACGCCGCACAGCCCCGAGGTGGCGGGGCTGCGGAGGCGGTGCCGACAGCAGGCACAGACAGGGCCGGGCGCTCATCCCGCCCCGGCACATCCCCAGCCAGGCAGGCCCCCGACACGCCACCCGAACGCGGTGCCGGGCTGTGCGCACACAGGGCCGCGGCCCCCTCCACACCGGGAACGCGCACGGCAGCGGCGGCGGCTCCGAGCCCGGAACGCTCCGTCCCCGCAGCGGGCGAGAGGCGGCCGCGGGGCGCCTCCATGCCGCTGCCGCTACCACCGCCCCCCTCCGCAGCGGGCAGGACGCCTGCGCCGTGCGCTGCCGGCAGGAGGCCGGGGGCGGGGGCTCCGGCAGCGGCGCCGCATCCAGAGCAGGTTGCGGCGGGGACGGGACCAGCATGAGCTGCGGGCGCTGAGGCTCCGCCGCCCAGCCCGGCCCAACCCGCCCGCTGCGCGGAGACAAAGGAGCGAGGCCGCCGCCGCCGACATGGGGGAGCGGCCCCGAGCCCAGCCTGGCGCCCCGCCGGCTGCAGCCGCCCCCTCCGGCTCGCTGCTCAACGGGCTGCTGCACAACGGCTTCCACCCGCCGCCGCCGCCGCTGCTGCGCCAGGAGCCGCCGGTGCCCGGCCACGGCTCCCCGGCCAAGAAATGCAGGCTGCGGAGACGGCTGGACTCGGGCAGACGGAACAGGCCGCGTAAGTGTTGCATGCGCCGGGCTCAGGCTTGCGCCGCCCGCTGCCCTCCACACACCCTGCAGCGCTGCCTCGCCAGCTCCTTGCTCCACCGGCGCGGGGAGAAGGGCTTGTTACACGTGCACCCACAAGCCCTAGCCTCACCGACTTCTGTTCCTTTATTGCCTGGCCCCACCGAGGTCCCCAGGCTCCTGTTAGTCTTTTAGGGGAAAAGGGATCCCGTGTGACCTCCTCCTGGAGCACAAGGACTTTGCCTATCAACGAGTCCAAGTCCTCTGTATCTGTTTCACTGTTTGAGGTCAGGGATTTTCTAAGGCCAGCTGCAGGGGTGGAGGGATGCCCATTCTTCCCCCTTTCGCCAGCTTGGTGAGTGTACTGAGGAGTTCTGCAGTGTGACTGACAGCGCCCCCCACCCCCCCGTGCAAAATCAGTTCATTAAATACCATCTTATTCCAGCCAATAAAACTGTGTTTTGGGGACACACCTACTGATACCATGTGGGCTGGGTCAGCGATTGACCAATGAGGAGGCTGGAAGGTGGTGGGTTTGTGGATTGGTTTCTAAATTGCTGTGTCTGAAAGCTAAAATGAGAGATTTCCTAAATTACAACTGGCATAAATGTGACCTTGTTAAAAAAGGCGTACAGTTCCGATACCTTGGGATGTAAATTTGTAGATGATATAGCCTTGGATTTTCAGTAGGAGACACCTTGAATCAGTTATTAATTTAGCTGTCTTTGGCATGGTCCTCTGTGACTTAGACATTCCAATGAAGCTCATAATTGCTAAGAACCATTGTAAGTAAATGAGACGGACATCTGAATTAAGGTCATTAGTAGACTTCTTAATGTTTTATTGCTGTTTTTTTGTATTTCATTTCTAAAAAAAAAAGGAAATGCAAACCACTTTTGCATAGGAATAATATTGTACTTGTATATATTGTCCTGTAAAATGAAGAACATTTCATCCAGAAATGAAACGTTTGGTTCATCTGCTTTATTGGACGCATTTTTATTTATACTGCTGATACAATCTGAAATTTGTATGTAAAGTGTATTCTTTGTGGTTATTGCCTAGTTTTTTGTTGTTGTTGTTGTTTTTTGATTTTTTTTAAGGACTGGTAAATTAACTACCCACTTAACATATTTCTTTTAAAGCTGGAAGTTCAAATGTATTCAAAATATTTGTACTATTTATGTGTTTCTTGATTACTGATAACATACTCTATTTTCTTAGTAATGGATGACTTTTAATACCTAGGTTCAATTATGAAAGAAAGCTATTTAATTCAAAAACTTTATATGTAAATCCAATTGGGAATTGACATTAGGAAACAAACAGCTCTGCTCTTTGCTGCATGCTTGCTGTAGTGGTTGGAATTGAGATTTATTGACCTCATTCACTTTCTACTTTGTATAGGGTTTTAAAGTTCAGCATATTCTGAGCAAGTAATCAGAAATAATTAGAACCATAAATACCCTGTGCCAAAACATAATGAAGTTTAAACTAAGTACAAAATAGTTTGTGTGTAGATTGAGCTAAGATGTGAAAAAAATTATCTAAGATATCTTGAATTTCTTTTGGATTCCATGAGATGTATTGTTTTGATAGTAGATGACTTCTCCAGTGGAATTTTTTGGTGTTTTTGTTGTTAAAGTAAAGTTTCTTTCTCACCAAATGTGTAAACGGACTTGTTAGGAGATAAAGCTAAACCAACACATTCAAAGATAACTTTGTTCTTCATTTTAATACAGGCTTACTGGACTGGAGTTTGGTTTTTTGGTAGGTTAAAAAACCTGGTAGTTAATAAGGTGCAACAAAAACTTCTTGTTTATATCCTCGGTGGTGGTGGTTCACCTCCTTGACTTGCCCAATGATAGTAGTAGCTTACAGTGAAAAGATTTAAAAACAAGAAAACCCTTTCCTCTCAAACTAACTGTAGGAACAGAACTGTTTTATTGTTAAAAAATAACCTGTGTGTTGAGCTGTAACTTTCATAGCACTAATTATTAAGAACCTTTTTTTCACATAAATGGTTTATTTTAACTTTAATATCTAAATGTCACCACTCAATATCTTTTATTATTATTATTATTATTATTATTTGTTTAGTATAAACAGTATGTCTGCATTGAGTAGTCATTTAACCTCTGCAGTAACCTGTATACATTCTACTCTGCATTTGGTAGAAGGAAGAGTTGAATGATGACAGACTAATTCTTGTTTGCAAAATGATTGTGATATCTACTTTAAAAACTATAAGAATAATAATTAAGCCTAGAATGCATATTTGAGGTGCAATTAAACAAAACCACAGACTAGCATACTTCCTTGGTAGTTTTGATTATATATAATTAAGCTCCATCTGCACTATTGTGTCAAAGTTTAAAAATATAATTCTGAGTATTATGAAAAAACCAAAAGGATAAGATTTCTATGGAGTCACATAATCTCTTAAATAAGAGGGAATAAGGCATTTAATTCCTTCAAACCTTTTTCTGAAAGGGACCAGAAGCATGGTAAACAATCCAGTAGTAAAGATTATAAAATTATTGATCTGCCATGTCCTACTGAAGACACCAGTTGATGGGGAAACAAACACCCAGTAGACTCAGTTCAGGCTCAAGGCAGTAGATGAGTTTCTTTAATAACATCTGCAAATTTGGAGTTTCTACAGCTGTCTTGTACATAAGTATATTTACAGCTATGTATTACACTTCCAGGAGAATAGTATATTGTAGCACTTATTTTAACATGTTTTATATTGTTCACCAGAGAGCAAAGGTGTATAGAAAATAGTGTAGCATTGACAGGATCTGAGTAGAGCACAACAATGAACAGTCCTGTTTTTCTGGTTTTGTATGATGTTTAACATTGGTGCTTGGAGATGTTTATGTGTGTTAAAGGGCACATTGCAAAATGCATGTGGTAACTGCACTAAGTCTTTTAGTATTGATCACTGTTCTTGCCAATTTTCTTTCACAATGTGCAAAGCATTTCCTAGTATACCAACAAGAAAAAGTTGTCAAACTGAAGGTATAACTGCATTCTAAATCCACATAAGTGAGACATTTATTATGGTTGGTATGGTGTCTGCCAGAACATGACAGACAGGAATAAAGACTGGAAATACAGGATTTTAGGAGGGGAACATTCTCACTTGAAACTAAAACTGTTTGCTAGTGAGGATATGGTATCTACTTTTGTGAAGCTCTTGAATTGATTCTATTATTGTTTGGGGATTCCCTCCCAGCCACTCCAAAAGGATAGTTTTATTTTAGCTTGCACTGAATGATTTGTTGGTGACCCATTGTATGATTTTCTTTCTTTTTTTTTTTTTTGGATCACTTGTGCATATATGTAGTTAGCTTAGGCCCCAACCTCACAGCTCTTTACAGAAAGGTTTCATTTACATGGAATAACCATGTTAAGTTTTTGCAACTATTTTAGAGCATCCACTTGATGAGCCTGTTCAGATGTGCTTTGCAGTGCAAGGAATTATGACAAGACAAGATGATGATGATCATCAGGGATAGTCTTTATAGCTTTCTGTGTCGTTCCCCATCAAATAGTGGTGTAGCCACATAGGTCGCCTAGTGTACACCTCAGCTAGCTAAATCATGCTTCAAGGTGTTATCCTGCATACACTAGGAAAAAGGTCAAATTAGGTCAAGGTTAACCAGAATGTGCTAAACTTAACCACTTCTAGTCAAGACAGACCTTTTAAGGGTACTGATCAGAAACAATATCTGAAAATCAATTGGCAACTACTCTATGTCCCAGAGAATGTGCGCTCCTGGAAAGCAGCATTACTTAATAGGAGAGGACCTGCAATATGCACTAGTTGTAATTTCTAAATGTTTCAAGCTGTAGCATCATATAGCATATATTGCTTTTGAGCCAACTTGTAGTTAGATTGTTGCAATCATTCACATACAAGGTACACGTGCACACAGCATAGATTTATATAGCGCTTTTACTCCCAAATGCTTTGCTGCCTGAAAAACACCGGGTTTATTCACCCACAGTGACATGCAGGCATCTGTAGGGTGGAAAGTTGCATCTATGTTCTTTGCCAGCAATACTATATAAGTTTGTTTGTCTCCAACTGAAACTGCAGGGAGAACTTAAAGTAAAAAGGACCGAATTACTCACTGGATGTCACTCAAGACATTAGCGCTCCATCCTTTAAACCAAAATGCTATTGGATTTTCTAATGATCAGGACCTCTTTTCTACATCTCATCGGAAGAAAACGCCTCTGGCAGTACAGTGTCCCCTAACAGCATGCTGAAGAATTGTTTCAATATTGAGAGGAAAGAGTGCTGTCTAGCAAATAAGTGTGGCTGTAAGCAAACGCAAAGCAAGTGGTGCTTTGGGGCTCTGCATCCTGTGAGATGAAAAGATGCCATATCTCCTTCTGCAGAAGTAGAATCGCACATACTCATGCATTTCTGCAACAAGACTGGAAAGTTAGAGAAATTGTGACCTGGCTTGATCCTCCTCACTTCCAGAAGCTTGCTCAATCATAAGTCCTAAGACTGGGCCTCCTATTAAATCATCATAACTTCTTGCAGCATCTGTGTTTTCCATGGAGGTACCTTGCTCAAAAATGACCCAGTCTGACTCTGCTTGTCTTTTACAATTACATTTTTAGGTAATCAGTCTACAGTATGTTTGGAGTAACACACCCTGTCAAGGCTGCTTCCCCACTTTGAACTTTAGGGTACAAATGTGGGGGCCTGCATGAAAACTTCTAAGCTTAACTACCAGCTTAGATCTGGTCCGCTGCCACCATCCCAAAGCTGATTCCCTTCCCTGGGTAGCCTTGAGAGACCTTCACCAATTCCCTGGTGAATACAGATCCAAACCCCTTGGATCTTAAAACAAGGAGAAATTAACCATCCCCCCTTCTTCCTCCCACCAACTCCTGGTGAATACAGATCCAACCCCCTTGGATCTAAAAACAAGGAGAAATTAACCATCCCCCCTTCTTCCTCCCACC